AAAAAAAAAAAAAAAAAAAAAAAAAAAAAGATGTAAGCCTCACACTGTTAGATGCCACCTTGCCCCCAGACTGCAGAGGGCTCCCTGAGAGTGACACCAAGGAAAGCAGAGCCCAGAGGCAGAAAGTGACAGGCTGCTGGTATCCGAGCATTTGCATTCAGCCTGTGTGACGTGGCTGTGCCCCACACAGAACTCCACTCAGATGAGCTCAGGTGGGAAGGGGGCTTACCAAAAGGTACTTGGAGTCAGTTTACAAGAGACACTCAACTTGCAATGGCTTATGAATAAAAGGGAATTTAATGGCACCTACTGGACAGCCTGTGATTAGCAGCCTCTGCCTGCTTCACTGGGGACCCAGGTTTTCAGAGGACCCTTGTACAGGTAGACCAAGACGTGTATCCGCCTTGGGAGGAGGCGACAGAACTCTCACCTGACCGGCTGCCGAGGCTTGATGTCAACTGGGGGTGGGGCAGGCACATCTCGAGGAAAGATGTCAATCCACATGTGGAGAGATCCCTGGGGGGACAGGACCAGGCTGGAGGGTCTTGTCAGGCTCCCAACCTTCCCTGACAGCCCTGTGGCCACAGACTGTGCCTTGTCCCCAGGTGGAGAAAAGAGCTAGGGTCAAAATGACAGGGTCAGGCAGATCCTGGGGGATGCGGATAAAGGTGGAGTCTGAAGTGTGGGTTCCAGGATCAAGGTTAGATTAGGGGTTCAAGGATGAGGTCCAGGCTGGGTGCAGTGGCTCACGCCTATAATCCCAGCACTTTGGGAGTCCATGGAGGGTAGATGGCTTGAGCTCAGGAGTTTGAGGCCAGCCTGGGCAACATGACGCAACCCTGTTTCTACAAAAAATACAAGAATTAGCCGGGTTTGGTAGCAGACGCCTGTAATCCCAGCTACCCCTGAGGCTGAGGTGGGAGGATCACTTGAGCCTGAGAGGCGGAGGCTGCAGTGAACCGAGATCACGGAACTGCACTCCAGCCTGGGCAACAGAGTGAGACCCCATTTCAAAAAAGAAAAAAAAAATGAGGTTCCAGAAGGGGAAGTTGAGATTAAAAGTAATATCTGGTGTTCCAAGGTCCAGATATTAGGGATCTGCAGGGGGTCAGGTTAGGAACCCCACATCCTGAGTCTTGGTGCCCAGAGGTGGGGATCCTGTAGGACTAGGGTCAGGGGTGAGGGTGTGGTCCAGGATGGAGGTCCAGGACAAGCAGGGACACAGGGACCAGCAACAGGAGCCGTAGTCAGGAGCTGCAGGTGGCACCTAGGTGGACACCTTGGGGAAAGGCTGGCCTGGGGGCCCAGGGCCCAGGATTGGGTGGGTAT